CGCCAGGGTAAGCACCCTGGCGGGCCGGGCCAGTTTGTTTACCTGCTGCATCCACAGGTTCGGCCGACTGCGGATCCCACTGGCCGCGGTTCACCGACCCAGGCCAATGGGCGTGGCGGGAAGTGGCGCGGGCCGAGGGATCTGCTGGCCGCCGCTTCCCGCTGCCCACATTGGCCTGGAGCGGCGAACCGCAGCCAGTGGGAGCCGCGATTGGCCGAACCTGCGGACGCAGCAGATAAACAAACTGGCCCGGCCCGCCAGGGTGCTTACCCTGGCAAGCCTCATGCCAAAGGTTGCCAACCCCTGTTATATTGTGTGCTGTAAAGTGCAAAAATACACTAAGACCAATTTTTCAAGATGAGGTGGCTAATCCATATTTAAACCATTAAATAACAGTTGCCCAATCTTCAAAGATGCTGAGTGCCTTTACTTCCCATTGATTTTGAGGGGCTTTGTGGATGCTCAGCACTTCTTGATATCAGGCTATATTTATATACATGGCTAAATATGGACTTAAGAACCTACTTTTAGGGCATTCGCTTTTGAAAATCTTGGCCTCTATATATTATTTTTTCATGAAATGTATTACTTGTGCTCCCTGCATATTGGCAGACTACTGGTGTAAAAGTACTATTTTGTACAACAGTAAGACTGGCCTACTGGTAGACTTTTAGAGGGCATTATTTTAACACAACTGAAAGCTCACTTCAGCATAAGCACATCTTCTTCCAGGGTCCAAATACAATGCTTTACTAGTAGTAAAGCTGTCATGGGTTCTCCTTGAAAACTCAGACATTTGTAAACATCAATCTCTGAGCTAACTATAACCCCTATGCCACTATTTAGTGTATATCCAGTAAGCTGTGAATCTTTGGTACGACTCTTATTAGTATTAGAGAGCATCTTCCAGAGACAGTACTTCCAAGAACAATGTTAGAATGGCAGGGTGGGGACAGTGGTGTGATACATTACAGAATCATTTATTAAGATTGTATGCATGGGAACCAGTCAGTATAGAAAATTACATATATTTAATAAGGTAGGAAACTCTGCAATTCCATTATCAAGAATCAAAAAATAGTTTCCTTGCTTTGGAAATACGTTCATCCAGAAGATTTCACAAAATGACAGGGTAAGAAAATTAGATTGGTGCTTAATTCCCCTCCTGCCACCTTTGCAATTTTAACATGATATAAAACCTCATCTCTTGCCTTTCCCAGAAGCCTTGTTAACATCTTGCTTTCATCTCCCAGGCAACTTCACCAATATTAAAAGGTCTTCAACCTTTCTTTTAAAAAATTAAATTAGGAGTTAAATTGTAGATGATATTTCAGTTTTAATGAACTGTCCTTGCTTTGCAATTATAAAAGGTAGGCAAAATATAGAGGCCAGAAGGAGAGCAGCCCCAGACTCTCATAGGTCCTAACTGCTGGGCTGGGATAACTGTGATAAATTATCTGACTTCAGTTTATGGAGTAACATTTGCATAGCATGCTAACCACATGTAATAAAAAAGCCTCTTCCAGTATCTCCTGCTTCTTGTAGGTCTCATTACACAGCAGACGGAGACTACGGCATGCAAAAGAGAGAAATTTACCATCTGCTAAGAGGCCTGCAGAAATCGGGGAGATAATGTTTCAACTCCTGACCGTGAAAACAAAGTATATTATACTCTAATGAGACTCTAGATTTCCAATGCATCAGAGACCACAAATCCCACTGAAATAACAAATTGGTGTTTATCAAAAAGTATATGGGGAAACCAAATAATGAAATAAATGAGCTAGTAGTTTCTGCTTATCACCAGAAGATTAATCCTCTGAGGTTTTATATTCTAGTAATGCTAAAGCAAAGCTGAAAGAGCATGGGATACTATTGCTGAGAGGGTTTATTTTACACTTTGTAGCACATTTCCATTTGGATTAACTGTAGGCAAATGTGGATGTTTGCCCTATTTTGTAACTGCTGTGCCTGCCTCTGTTGGTAAAATTTCAGCCCAGGGATAAAGAGCACACCTGTCAAGACATCTTGCTTCTTTGGGTACATCTACGCTATATCTGGGAGCATGCTTCCCAGCTTGGGTAAACAGTCAACATGCTAGCTCTTCTCAAAATAGCAATGCAGCTCAGGCTAGCTGCCTGAATACGTACTCAGGGATCCAGGCAGGTTTGGTCTCAGGCAGCTAGTCTGAGCTGCTGCCCATGCTCTCCTTGGCTTACCCTGCTATTTTTAGTGCATTAGCTTGAGCAGAGCTAGCATAAGTCTGTCTCCCCAAGCTGGGGGGAACACGCCCCTACATGTAGCCTGTGAAATCATGTACAACTGTAAACTTTTTTTTCAAAAAGTCTAAGCACCATCCAAATACACGTGCTCCTATTAATCCACTTTTACTCAGAAAACAAAAGGAAATCAGGTCCATCCCAGAAATAAAATCTATAGAAATTAACCAAAAGCAAACACATGTTCTAATGTAATCCTGCCAGGCACAATAGTGATACTGCAAGTAGCCCTTTCCAATGACACTATATTAAATGCAATTCACTAGCTTTTGATAATAGCCCAGTAACATTTGAGCATCATAGAAAAGCTCATGAGGAAATGAATAATTCTGTATTCAGAGCACAATTTGAATGGTATGCTCTAAGTCAGGCCTGGGGCCACAAACTGAATGAGCAGGATACAAAGAAATATTGAATAGCTACCCATTCAATGAGCACCATCCATTCTGTCCACTGAATCAGATAGGGGTCCTGTGGGAAAAAATAGTGTGATGGGAGTAATTAAAGACTGTATCCTAATCCACATGCACAATTAGGTTAAAACAAATTAGGTTACACAGGCAACCTAAATTCTGATATTTTCTAACTTTTGAGTGCTTCACTTTGCCACCTTAGTGTTCTTTAATGTAGCTTTAGTATGTAATTTCCTAGGTTTTAAAAAAAAATCAGATTTTTTAAAATGTGGAACTTATTGAGTCTCATATGAGTGATCAGCAGGGTTAGACCTCTTAGATCCACCACCCAGACTTCTGCCACTTGAGCTAAGTAATTGATAGCAGTAGTAGGCTGTCATTCTCTATGTGGGCCAGCCACTAGAGGGAGATGAGACACATATTTTACTTACAGGTTTCACAGGTATTTGTTGACAGGAGACTTAAAAATCCTGGGTTCTATTCCAGGTTTCTGAAGCCACTGTATTCTAGTGACCATTGACCTATGCCTCTGGCCCCTGCAGTCCGTGTTCCAGTCCTAGTCTCCCTCCAGCACAGCTCTCCTCAGCTCCTCATTCTAGCCTATCTCATCACCATTCCCCCATAGTTCCACATCCCAGTCTTTCTCCACCCTTCTGTTTTGTCCCAGTCCTTCACCACCATCCCTCCAGCTTCTTATCTCAATCGCTCCACTCTGTTTTCCCCCAGGTTGAGCTCCTCATCCCTTTGCATTCCTGTCAGGTAGCTTTCTCCCTTTCTCCCTCACTGCTTGGGGATCAGCAGGGAGAAGACAGTCTCACTGCTCTCAGTTCATGTGCCCGGTGCCACAGTCATCCCTGACTGCCAGAAAGAACAACTGCAGAAAAAGTACTGCTCACCCTCTACATCCGTGGGATGGATCATTCTCAATGCAGACAGCATCTTCGGAGAATTTAGCTGCCAGATGTTAACAAGTCTCTAGCAAACATGTGCAAACTGACACATTCCAGAGGCTCATAACTTGGCCAAATTTGGGCAGATTTTCACAGGGATAGCAAAAGGCAGGGCAGCACCCATACCCAAATTAAAGTTCCTGCTCCAAAGTAAAGAGGTGCTAGGCCTTTAATTAAATGGTTGTACAATTTTTTTTTAACAAGAGTGAAACATTTTTTCTTAACCTCATGACTGGAAATGACTGAATGGTTTTTGATCAAATTTTCTGAAAAAAATCTTTACCCCGAAATAGTCCCCCATCATGGAAAACTTCATCTCAAACTGCTAAAGTTTGGTTAAGTTATAAGCAACTGAAAACAGGGTATTATGATGGAAAGTGCCAGGCCTCTTTAACTACAGGCATGGATAAATGTGCCATCTATAATTTTAGTGGCTTCACAGTGTAAATGCAATTTTTAAATGTTCTGCTTTTGAAAGCATTGTGCATTGTTTCTTAGCTTTCCTTCTTTGTTAGGAGTAAAATGTATTTAGAAAAACTAACCCAAGGCCAAGCTGCCTACAGACAACTTCAGCATCTGCATCATCCCACTGATCATCACAGACAGTCCCCCATTGGCCAGTATGGTAGACTTCCACTCTTCCTTCATGAGCATTGCTCCCACCAGCCAGACGGATTGGAATAAAGGCTACAGTTAAACACAAAACAGAGGAAAAAAGTCATTTATTTCCCAAAATGATAATCAAAGCTATACACAAATGGAGAGCACTCAGCTTCACTTGGCTTTGGTCAAGTATTATGCAACTTCTTAACTAGATGAAAATCCTGAAACTGAACTGGTTAGAGAAGCCTAAGTGCTTGCAGAATTTTAGGGCTATAGGGACAAATGCTGCTCTCAGTGAAGCGGGAGGGGTGGTGGAACTGCACCAATGTATGTGAAGGCAGCATTTACTCCACAGAGTCTCGATCACATAGGGTGAAATCCTGGCTCCCCTAAGTCAATGGCAAACCGCCCACTGATATGCAGTGGGGCCATGATTTCACCCAGAATATCTTCTGGCACTGATCCCAGTCTGTACCATAGTCAGTCAATGAAAAGTCACTCTATCTGGATTATTTTAACTGAGGAGGGTTTTCCCCTTAACCTCTATCTGCAGTGAGTCTTCCTTGTTGCTCAAATTGGGGGCACAAGGTTCCCTCCAGCTGTGACTCCTGCACAGTTTTCCTTTCAACAGCTACATATCTGAGTATGAAACTACAGTGATGGAAATGATACAAAGTTATATAATGCACTTGAACTATTTTGATGTAACTTTTTAAAAGAGTATATCAGTATCAAATATCTGGATGACTAAAGTGTGACTCAGTTCAGTTTACACTCTCCAGCAAATTAACTTTACCCTGTTATCTTTCCATTTATTTGTTTGCTGAAAGTGAGCATTTTGGAATTTCTGAAGACCCCCTCTGAACATTTCACCAGCCATGAAAGCTGATGATTTTTCTGATGAAGCTTTCGTAGAAAGGCTAGTGGTGTCAAGAATCTGCAAAAACACAAGCCACTTCAAATAATGTTACCTAATTAACTTCAACACTAGACTATGAACTATAAATCAATCTTCTTCTAGCACTCTTAAAACAGTTATTTTATTCCACTATGCCTAAATGAGCCCTCTAAGCAAAACAAAGAGGCTTTCTGTTGAAATTTCAACTTCCTTTGAATGGAAGGGGAAACTTGGTGAACTAGGTAGTGTGACTTTCAAAATCTGTATTTTTAATTTCTTCATGTATTATCAACCTCATAAAATTGAAAGCTTACTTGCTCTGGAAATAATATGTAGGAAACTTCACTCTCAATTGCACTAGCTTTAAACTTCACAACAAAGGATTCAATCCAGCACTGACATCAATGGAGTTATAGCCGCATCAGGAATGCAGAATAAGGACCAAAGTGTGAATATTTGCCAAAAACAGTAAGATTGTAAACACACTCTAATGACTTTTCGAAATCTGTTCATGCATACATAAAACATCAGTATTTTAATGCACCTCCATAGTATGTGGGGCGGGGGGAAGGGAGGATGGCAGAATCTACAAAACAAACGGTAGCTACTTGTATAGTCTTTCTTTTCTGTTTTGTGCAAATAATAAGGGTCAAACGTTTGAATTCTGATTGACCTATTTGTGCTAGCAATTCTTTACTAATGCATTCACTGTCTCTTGGACACTCATGTACCTGATTTGCAGGTATAGTCAAGTACTTAAATATTCAAGAATCTGAAATTATATCCACAGTTATTTGAGGCCACACTTATGCAGGTAAAAAAAAAAGGAAAGCCTAATGAAAGCAAGACTGAAAACTTGACCCTAAGTGTGGCTGAACACAACTGCTTAAATGCCTAATATAACCTACCTCTTATGGAAATTATTTATCCTCAAATATATAATTGTTCACTTAACTTGGTGGAGGTAGGGCTAAGGGAAAAGATTTAAATTGTTTAAGTAATACATCTATTTTTAAAAAATTTTTAAATAAGAGGCACAGGCTACCTACAGATCCCAAACATATTCACTCTGATAGCAAAAGTGAAGAACTCTGTTTGTGTAGAATGTATACTAGGAGTTAAATCTTGATCCCATTGAACTCAATGGCAAAATTCCCATTTGGCCTTCAGTAGAACATCATTTCCCTTACTTCAGTGGTCCAGTTTGTTTCCGAAATTAACTGGAATACTGCCCCCATTTCCTGTACAACTGTGAAGGTATGTATGACCAAAACAACTTGATCACTTACTCTTTGAACATTTTAAATATCAAAATATCTGTCATAGGAACTTGGGCAAAAATGTGTCCATCCCAGCATGGGCCATAAGGTAGAGATGGGGAAGAGAGGGTACAAAGCCTTACACTTTCTTGTAACCCTGTGCAGGGACCATCTACAATCGCAGCTCTGCTCTAGTGCCAGTGGTGTTAATTCCTCAATGAGGGTAAGGTGAGGATGGAATCATGGCCCCCCAACACCCATCACAGAGCCCAGGGGAGCTGCTGCATGTGGAAGCAGAAAGCACACTGCACCCTTTCCAAGAGTGACAAAACTCACTCCAGCATCTGCAACTGCCCTAGACCCTCTGCCCCTCTGCTTTGGAGAAATTCTGGCTAGTTCAAACAGAACTCCCTCTGGGATCCTCACTGCTGCACAACCTACCCTTCCTCACAGCCTGTGTTTTAAAGCAACAATTAGCTATTTGCTGCTCTCAGAATGTGGAAGGACTTTTAAAAAGTGAATGATACTATGCTACATTTTATTTTAGATCTTTTCTTGGACAAGGAAATTAAACTAGGATTGTTTTTTAATGTAATCGTGTGCATTATGACTGTTCAAATAAGGCAAAAAGTTCATAAAAAATTATATACTTTTACCATGGGAAAAGCTACACATGACAGCAGCTGCCATTTTTTGAGGACATGTTCCGCCCTGCCAGATGTCTTTTTCACACAGCAGTATATTTTCTTCATCACCATGGCAACGTACATCACTCCAATAAACAGGGATAAGGCCCAGTCCAGAAAATGGTGTATACTTTGCTGTACCTCTTTTGCTGTAGAAGGAAAGATCAGCATTGGATATTGGGAAATATTTGTTTGAGATGTTCACTCACAAATGCATGGGAGGCCAAATCCTGGGGTGCAGGAAAAGGATTTTGCTCACCAAGAAAAAGTTGCAGGGCAGAATCCTTGTCTGCAGTCAGTCAGGATGTTCATGCATTTGGGCCCTCACCACTAATACAGGATATGAAGAGGAACACCAAATGTAGCCTGTTTTTCCCCATTCCAGTATAAGATGATTTGGTATAGTGGAGCCACACTGCACATGAACCAGTTGGGTCTGCATAACCTCTGACCCAATCACATTCCCCTTTCCTGTATGCTGAGTGGCAGAGACCAATCACAGAGATCTCTTCCACAGGCCACGAAAGGGCAGCTTCCCTACATGAGACCTTCAATGCTCTTGTTCCACTGTACAGCTAACACGGTTTTTAAGGGTATGTCTACAGCATAACCATGCGTTGTTGTCCACTCTTATTTGCATGGATTCTTATTTTTAGTCATTCTTGTTTAAATGGTTCTGTCACTGACACCATCACTAAACTTTCCTTGCTGATAAGGATCCTATACAACCAAAATACTCTAAGTGCTGAAGGTAGGAACCAGTTAAAATGAAAACAGGATAAAGAAATATTGCATGTAGGCAGCTGAAACCATAAGCAAAATCACAGCCTCCAGATGGGCTGAACTTTTATCTCCTCTAATCTGCATATTTTTATAAGTTGGCTTGGTGTATGCAGATTAACATTAGACATTCCAAACAGCTTAGATTCAGTTCTGACTGGCACTCTTAAGAGTGGAATAATCACCAGAAATGTCAGAGTGCAAATATTGCATATTAACACCCAGAGCCTGTAGCAAACAAGATGACATTTGATGTACAGCTGAAACAATGTCAGAAAGGCAATAAAGCCACCATATTTTGAGAGTTACTATGAAACTGTAAACCGAATGGGATATTGAGATGATTCAAGTAATGGGATTGGCTAATGCACAAGGTATTGATTCTTTAGAAGCCTAAATTGCATTATCCATGAAAAAAATCCATATACTTATGATCATTTCTCACCCCCCCACACACACCCATTTTCATCTTATAATAATTATACCATCTATATAGGCACTTCTTAGAGATAAATGACTGGCTAGGGTTAATGGAGCACAGTTCAATACTTCCTAGCTGGTAATTATCCCCAGAAAATATCCTGAAAGTTATTATTTAATTAATCAAACCACTAGGGAATATTCATAGCAACCTACTGAGTATGATATGATAGTCACACCTGCCTGTCAGATCCCGTAATTTAGACAGTCATTCTCCTGTCTCTGTTCGAGATAACTTTACAGGTAGTGAAAGGTTAAATATACACATGCCCTCCCCCGCAAATAAATTTGGAGTCTTGACAAAACAATTTGTTTTCTATTTTCTTCAGGCATCTGGTAGAATAGATAATTTCTGAATAGACAAATACAGAAATAACTGCTGCTCGCTAGGCCCAGAAAGTCCCAGGGACAGTAGGAGTGCTGAGGTGTTAGCCTAATTCAGGGCTTCTCAACCTGTGCAACATGATTAAAATTCTGTAAACTTTCTCCATGAAAACCATGGCACTTCTCCTGATTTACCTCATGTACAGTGAAGTCAGAATCAGGACTCATATTTCTTCCCTCCAGTTTGTATTTATTCCCCTGATGAGTCTAGAGACCTGAAGGACCTACTGACCAGATGAGCCTGTTAAATTTGCAGGGTTGTTGTGAGTATGTATGCATCAAGGATTGCCCCACATCTTAACAATATCCCTCAGACTTCCCAATGAGCTTTCTCCTTCAGACAAATTCTCAAGACATCCCTTCTTTTCATGTGAGACATCAAATCTACAGGGTGGTAGGGAAGAAGAGAAGGGGGTTGCTTGACACTCTTCACTCGCTATCCCATGCACTGCTCCCCAGTTCCCATGGAAACAGTCCTTGCATGCCCTAACCTTTCATAATCAGATTCCCAGTTTTCAGTGTGAAAACCTGGTTACCATCTTTGCCTCCCATTCTCTTCAGATGCCAGAAGCAGCCTTACAAACCATATGTTGATTCTCACAGCAACTCCTTTGAGACATTACAAGAATTGGGGGTAAGGATTCTGGGGATAACCAGCTTTAATATACAAAACAGAACAGGTAAACACTTCAGGCAGCAGATATTAGTGGTTGCAACATGCTTACTACCTAGTTATTGTGTAACTGTGGACGGGTGGGTAGAGAGGGCACTTTTTTACCTTGCCTCAGGCAGCAAATGCTTGGTGCATCTGAGGAGTAACAGTTGTGAGTGTTTGAATGTTGGGTAATGGAAGGAAAGATATTAAAACTCAGGCCTAATGTTATATCGTGGCATTGCTTCACAAATATCTTAATAGCATTGGACACACAGTTATAGATTCAGCTGCAAAGTCTGTAACACAATACCCATTTCTTTCTCTGAAGAAGTCATATAAAGGTTTTATGTACACATTCCCAGCTCTCTGACTAATACCTTTGCTAAGTGGGTGTACCACTTCCTCTGTCATTTAGAGATTGTATCAATTGAGAATGAAGCCATCACTTAAGAGCAACACTTTTTTTTTTCCAGAATAACATCCCATTCCTAATGGATTTTAAAAATATCTATCAAATCCAGAGCTCCTAAATATGACATTGAAATAAGCTGGTAAATTTGATCTGGGACTAAAACTTACCCAAGCTCAAGCTGTCGACATATGACTGATGCATCATTATTGTCCCAATGACTGCTGCAGATTGTTCCCCAAATTCCATTCAAATAAACTTCAACTGTGCCTTCAAACTCATTCTTGCCACCTCGAAGTCGCACTGACCCTAGATAAGAGAATTTTAAATGATTTAAGTAAGATGTTTGCTGTTCATGACTGAGTTAACTTGTGCCATTTGAAGGACATGCAGTCTCAGCTCCACTCTGCTATAAATATTTTCATGTATCATGTACTTGCTTCAAGTTCATTAAAGAGGGTGCTTCTAATTAGCACTCTCTGGTATCTAATAATTCCTTTCTGTTGACTCAAAAGGAGGTAACCCATTCCATACAATAATTTAATGAGGAAACATCTTGATTCTAACACTGCAGCCAAATATCAAAGATGTGGGGAGAGGGAGTATATGTACATATCAATATAAATCGCATTAATGATAGTCTATACATAAATTTTGTTAACATAATCTGCAATGTTATAACAAGGAAACAAAATATGATACACACGTGATATATTGTTATCTTCCATCTGATTTAAAGGAATTATAAAACAATCACATGGATTGCATAGCTTCTGTATTGACCCACATAATATATTATGCATGTCATGGATGCCAGCAGTTTATTTCAGGCCAAAGAATGCATTTGTTCTTACTTGCCATCAAACGCTTGATGTAGCTATTACAAATTCATTATAGGCCTGTATCAAATTTCCAAATAAAACAACCTCAAAACATAATCATAACACACATTCTTTTCCAGTCCTTGTGCGTGTATCATCAAAATACAGGTTGAGAGCACAGAACACAAAATCAAGAAATTGAATAGTATTATAGTAGATACCACAGTATTCTCTTCCCAACAGTGTAAAAAGTCCCTACAGCTACATGCAATTCAAACACCAACTGCAAAAGTGTGAAACAGTCACAGTCATATTTGTTATCCTACAAAGGGAGAGCAAACAATGAATGTGCCATAAAAATGCTACTAATTTGACAAGAAGGTAATATATTGTAGCTGTTATCAAAAACTATAGATGGGTATTGCATGAAATATCAAGTGATCCACCTGCCTATACTCTGCTCTATTTAATAGCATAGCATAGACCCTTTCCACTCTGTAATTTTTTAAGCAAGGGGAAAAAAAATCTATTTATTATAATGGCTAGGTTAAATTTTTGTTCCCTCCCCACAAATTTCACTGCAAGTCTGTTCTGTTTTGAATGCAGTTCTCCAGGGTTATAAAACCTTGAAGGTGAACCATTGCCAAGTAATTCAAGTCTATTAACCTCAGACTTGATGTATGTACTTTTTTGCCCGTGACTTATTTTCACCGCATGTAATACAGTAATATACAAGTACCGCTTATTAAATCAATTTTATAAGGTGATCCTTTTATACAGAATACATGATTTTGTAAAGATTTAATTATAACAATACTATATAAAAGCACTGAAAGAACAGCATTTTGAAGACTCTACTATATATCTGAATAAATCAATATTTTACTCCATTTATAGCCTTCCCCGTCACACACAGACATAGCCAGATACACACACTGGAATTTTATCTCCTATATCTGTTCTTTCCAAAATCCTTCTGGATAGACTATTATTTTAATCACAAGACATCAATTGCAGACACAGCAATATTTAGAACAAAGTGATTCTTGACATACCAAAAAGGGGGCTTTAATAGTTGTCTGTCTTTTAAAAAATAAAAGGGTTATTTTTGTACAATGACCTTTTTCCTTTCACAATCGTGTGGGACACCCATGGTAAGCAATAAAAGTGCTTCCTGCATAAATATTGCAAGACCTTTCTGTTATCTGGATAAGTAAATACTTGAAGAGTAAAAATTCTCCTTTCAGAGCCACAAGATAGATCTTGACTTCAATATTCTGCTCTTTCTGCATCTACAGAATTCCCACTGGCAACACTGAGACTACTCATATACAGAGAGTAGACTAAAGTATCAAGATTAACTCTGCACATTGGAGAATTTTGCCCTAACACCTTAAGTCCTTTGCTTGTCTAATATTCTCCAAATTTTACAAGTTCTCTACAAAAGTTTTATTTACAGGATGTCTGTTTGCACAGTATCTGACAAAAGTAAAGTGATACAGTACTGTATGTACTTCATATGTTATTCATGCACTCTAAAGAATGTGTGAGTATATATCATGTGACTCGTGTCATAATTATGTAGTGGATAAAACTAGTTCGCAAATGAACTAAAACAACTTCCCCCAAAGTTTACTTAACATGTTGCAGTATTCTGGCACATTGGCAGCTGCTACTCTGAATTTGACTCACTGGATTCATATAGTTTTAAAATACACAAATGACAAAATGTGATACGTAATTTCTATATGAAGGAATAGAACTAATTTTAAATAAACACATCAATCTTTTAAACATTTTTTTTGGTTTGGCTCTTTTTTCTATAGATAAAACTCTTGATTTTGTAATAGGCCTAGTCTCTTAATATGAGATGTATGATGTACCACGGTGGAACAAGGAATTACATTTATGAACACTAGTATATGTTCATAACGTATTGCTAATTAGCTATTCATTACTATACCCTTATAGAGAATAAATGGTCCATGATAATGTATTTTCCTGAGTATACGTGATTCTGTGCATGCATTTAGGGCCCCAGTCAGGTTCTGTTAAGTCAATGGGAAAACATCTGTTTACTTTAATGAGTGTAGGATCAGACTCTTAGTTACAAGAAAACAATTTAAAAGGCCATCAGCTTAAGAGTCATATATTGTAAACCTAAACCCCAAAAAACTGTTACTAATAGTACCTTAAAAGAAAAATTTAAATTTAAAAGTCCCATTTACTTTTCTCTGTTCTGTTTTTTCAATTTTCATCTTGAAAATAAGTCAATTTCACTTTTATAGACAGTTTCAATTTCAGACACTGCTGCTGTGCTTGGGTCTGAAAGAAACAGGGGAATTTTGTTTGTTTGTTTGTTTAAAAGCCTAAGATTCCACTGGAACCTTGAAAAATTGTGGAAACACTTCCATTGGTTTTAGGTTTTATAAAAGCTTGTTTTTTACAAAATTTAAACTTTGGCCCAAATTTGTGGAAATAGTTAAAGCAGGGATCAGCAACCTTTAGCATGCGGCTCGCCAGGGTAAGCCCCCCTGGCGGGCCGGGCCACTTTGTTTACCTGCCGTGTCCGCAGGTTTGGCCGATCGCGGCTCCCACTGGCCGTGGTTCGCCGCTCCAGGCCAATGGGAGCTGCGGGAAACGGCGCAGGCCGAGGGATGTGCTGGCTGCCACTTCCCGCAGCCCCCATTGGCCTGGGATGGCAAACTGCGGCCAGTGGGAGCCGCGATCAGCCGAACCTGCAGACGCAGCAGGAAAACAAACCGCCCGGCCCGCCAGGGTGTTTACCCTGGTGAGCCGCAGGCCAAAGGTTGCCGATCCCTGCCCTAGACCATAGAGCAAGGCCGCCATAGAAGCCAAGCCCATTGGCTACTTCCCTGGCAGCTGTGACTATCCCCTCTCTGGAGGGGTTACAGGCTCTGGAGTAGAGTTACCTCCTGGTAAAGCAGCATTACCTCATGTGTGGATTTCTGCCCAAACTGTTGGGTTAGCAGGAGAGTAGACTCAATTTTAAAATGGTGATTTAAAAAAAAAAGAAAAAAAAGTTGACCAGCACTGAAGGAAGCATGCCACAAAGAACTACTGCTTGTCTCTGCTACCATCATACTCATCATACACATCCTCTCAGAACCCACTGAGTCCTGACCATCACCTAGAGTGGCTTTTCAGAAGGTAGGAACACACACTGGAGCTTCTCCTTCTTCCTTCTATTCTCCCTGCCCCATCTCACACCAGTAGCTTCAAAGGATACAGATAATCCTTTTTGACTAAGAAGGTGTTAAGTGAAAGACATTGAACCAGGCTCAAATCCACCTCTACCACATCTTTAACAAGCTTGCTTCATACAAAACTATGTGGATTAAAAACTGCAGACAGAGAAATAACTGTCAAAAGTAACAGTGGAAACAGGGCTGGATGAAGATGTAAATGCCCCATGTTCCCACAGTCAAGTGATCTCATCAGAATTTGTTTCATTTACTTAAAAATATAGCTCTGTTGGTTGCAAAGTAAAGCTTGAAAATGTGGCCTGAACATAACTGATACAGTGATATCTCCCTGAGGCTGCAGGTTGCCTGAAACAGTGCTCTAAGAGGTGCATCTCAATTGGGTGTTATCACTAAGACACTGTTCTAAGGAGCCCCTCAACACTACCCCAGTAGAGGATTCTGTGCATGGCAGGAGAAGAGTGCTGCGAGTCTGCTGTTTCCCTGAGTAATTTAACGCCCAGCCTCTGTGTGTGGGAGAGTGGACCTGTGCTGCCACCCCATATGCTCTCAAGGGAAGGGAGACCTTGTTGCCAATCTTGGGAGGAAGAAAGGGGGCTCTGCTTGTCTGGGAAGGGAAAAAGCCTCATGGCATAGGGAAGAGGCACAAGGGCAGGACTACTGGGTAGAGGAGGGGTCCATGTCCCTAGTGTGTCTATGACCTCAGACTGCCTTAATCTAGTTCAGAATGAAGAAAGAGGATCAGAAAATCACATATACAGGACTATAAACCTACACACTCTCAACAGAAACTCCCTTTCACTTCTACATGTTTTATATTACTGAGGAAAAACATTTACATTGTGTTTCTCAATCAATTTCACCCAACGTTACTGACAGTCAATTGTGTTTGTATACAGTTTGGTAATTTTAGTTGCTCTGGGATCTGCCCCAAGTCACATGGGTTCATAGCTGGTGTTACCGTTTAAACCAGGTTGGGTTTGCTTCTAAATGCAAGTAAGGGTATCTGTTCAGCTATTGCTGAGACTTGCTCTGCAACACCTGCCACATAGGCTCAGGATGAGACACAGGGAAAAAACTCTCAGCCAACTTTTAATTAACTCTAAAGAACAGATGGGCTTCATGTTTCTTGCAGCTTGTAAACAATATGACTGTCCCACTTGCCCCTCTTGTTAGTTTGCTCCTAAATCCAAAGATTCTAGCTGTCTGTATCCTACATCTAATGAAGAACAAGTGTCAGGACAGATTGTATTTGAATCAAATGAGATGGGGATCACTTCCAATTGCTGCAGACATGTTTATGGTGTTAACTAAAGGTGTGCCAGCATTTCCTTTATAGACTGCTACTATGTTCAAAGGTTTGTAACTTGGATGTAAATCTATTTTTGAGAAGCTGGATGGAGGCTGATACTTGATACCCTTAGTTCTAGTGCTGGTTGTTCTGAAGTTACAAGGGTAGAGCAAAGCACAAGAAACATCTTAAGTTTGGAATCAAATGCCAACATCTAACATCTGTATTATCATTTACATTTTGGAATATACAACACATTGTGGGCTAGTACTTAATGAACTGTTAAAAACGTATGTTTAAATGGTGGAGTGGGTAGTGCCCTGAAAAGTCATTGCACTAGCCTTTCATCCCTGAAGGCCTGGGATCAATTGCTAGTTAGATCCAAACTGAAAATGAGTTTGATGGTCTTATCCTTGTACCTAATGGTCATTTTTCCACACCATTTAATCCCCTGCAGTAATTCAGCAAAGATAGAGAATGATCCAAGACTTGCAAAACTGGGCCTGTCCTAATTAAGGAGTGAACTGCATTGACTGGTCTGTATGGGGATGTTAGTGCAAGAACTGCTTAGGTTATGGGCCCAATCAAACACCCACTGGAGTCAATGGGAGTCTTTTTGTTGACTTAAAGGTGTGCTGGGGGCCTGATCCAATGTCTGCTGAAGTCAATGGAAAGACTCCCATTGATTTCAGTGGGTATTGGATCAGGCTATGCCTCCCTATAGCCAATGCTAATAATACCTCATTTTCATGAGCATTAAACTCAGTCTAAAATGATGATCTAATCCCAGTAGTTTACCCTTGGGAAAAAATTGATATTGTGCGTCCATGAGAATTAATTTTTCAAGAACTAGCAAGGGATTTTAGTATACAGTCTTACTGCACATTCAGGGATCTTTAAGACGGAAGATCCCTAACTACTGCATGTATTGGTTGAAATAGTTCTTTGGAGCATTATGGTTCATCATGTCAATGGTCAATGGCTTAAAACTCCTTTAAAAATAAATTTAAATGATAGGCATGTAATGGAGCTGCAATTATCTAGCTAATTGGATAATCAGGGGATAGTGTAGAACTGTAATAAAAATGGCTCCAAAGAAGTTGCTTCTGTTTCAGAGAGAAATATGACTTTCAGGTATAATTTTTAACCCATGCTTTTTTTTTTTTTTTTTACATTACAGGGCGGAAGTATAGACTGATCAGCCAGGGGCTTGATCCTTCTCTCACAACTGTATAGAGTGGTGGTAACTCAATGGGCTTTAATGTAGTTACTCTGACACAACTGGTATAAATGAGAAGAAAATGAGGCCCTGAAATTCTGTAGACCTGGAATTTATTTCCAACTCTGCCACTAATTTATGCAATTTTGAGTAAGTCACTTAACCTCTCTGACTTGTTTTCCCCATTTGTAAAATGGAAGAGAAAGAACACTTCTCTCTGAGATTCTCAAATGAAAGATATTAGAACAGTTTTATGTTGTACAACCATAACATTAACATTGTGTATACTAGCATTTTCTTATTAAGTATTTTGACAGGGTAGTGTTATAGTCACTTATTTTAATGTATGGTTTCTTT